TCGGCTCGCGGATGGGGCCGCCCTTGGTGATTATCGTAAAGCTAGATCCTCGGTGCTAACATCGTCCTATCCAAACCAAATAAGTTTGATAAAAATAATGTCACAAGTGGGGTTTGTTAATATTGGCGGGGGAGGGGGAGACGAGATAGGGGTCTATTAGTGGGGAGGGCAAGCAGAGGCCCAGACAGAAAGGGCGCGCGCCCCGTATTGCGACCTCAGATTTTCACGTTATCCGGCCGTATCTCAACGTAGAACGTTTATTTTACGATAATCTCTTCAGTTAATATTAAAACAATGTACAGTCCATCACTATGAGAAATTTCAGCGCCAACGGACCTCGACAAGATACCTTTTGACCCCAATTTAGATTTTGAACTTCAAAGTTAAATTAAAATTTTTTGAAGGCCTATTTTGAAAAAAACGCTTCTTCCTATCCGAGATTAGCATTAAGCCAATACCTGGGCAAATTTTCAGCCAAAACCGTCCATGGGAAGGCACTTTTCGACGACTACAAAGGTTTTGCGGATACACAGACATCCTGACAAACGCAGACCACCCCCTCTGAGTACAAAATAAAACCGCTATTAAAATTCGAAAATTCACTTTTTTGAAAATTTAAAAAGCTTATGTGATGCAGAAAATGCGGCCGGTTCTGGTGGTATATTTAGTTTTACGATCCGATGCATGGTTACCGCTCAAACCGGGTAAAGGTCCCAAAAAGAGCCGCGTGGGGGGGTACCTCAACCCAAAAAGGGTTAGCGGGCTCCGCCCGCTAACCCCGATTGTTGGTTTTTGAGATGAATTCAGTCGTGCCTTACCTAGAATCGATGGTTCGCCTTGCATCTCTTTCTCTGACTGCATACGAAGATTCGTCCCTCACCCCCCCCTGAGAATGCACAAGCTCCTGTTTTGCACAGATGCGTACTCTCCACGTGCAGTCAATTTTAATAGTTGGTTTTTTAGATGAATTCAGTCGTGCCTTACCTAGAATCGATGGTTCGCCTTGCCTCTGTTTCTCTGACTGCATACGAAGATTCGTCCCTCACCCCCCGGATAATGCACAAGCTCCTGTTTTGCAAATATGCGTACTCTCCACGTGGAGTCAATTTTAATAGTTGGTTTTGTAGATGAATTCAGTCGTGCCTTACCTAGAATCGATGGTTCGCCTTGCCTCTCTCTCTCTCAGTGCATACGAAGATTCGTCCCTCACCCCCGGATAATGCACAAGCTCCTGTTTTGCAAATATGCGTACTCTCCACGTGTAGTCAATTTTAATAGTTGGTTTTTTAAATGAATTCAGTCGTGCCTTACCTAGAATCGATGGTTCGCCTTGCCTCTCTTTCTTTAAGTGCATACGAAGATCCGTCCCTCAGCCCCGCCGCCCCCCTGATAATGCACAAGCTCCTGTCAAATCGGGGCGCCTAGCCGCTACGCGCGCCTCGTGCGCCCCGATTTCGAAACCATGTACTAGCTCGCACCCATCCGACGCGACTGGGCCCCAGGTGGCACGAAGCCTTTTTCTGTCGCTTGGCGGAAGAAGTCGAGTGACTCCTACCGCAAAACCATCTTTCTATCGTTTTTTTTAACCAGAATCGGACTCCGCGCGAGAAATTGCATTTTCAGGTTTCAGGTCATTTTTCAAAACTCCGTATCGCGGCGCTAATGTCGCGGCGTAAATGTCAGATGCAAGTGTCGCCGGCGCAAATCTGCCGGCGCAAGTTATCGCGGCGCAAGTGTCGCGGTACCGTTCCATAGAGCACTTTATTCGGTTTCATTGGAGAATTAAATTGACGTTAATCAGTTAATCAATGGCAGCTATCATTTTTTGGCTTTGACGAGTTCTGGGCGAAAACCGCGTTCGAGGAACCTCTGGAGTCGATGGTGGGCGCAGCGGTCTGAAAGAAAAAGATGTCTCGGTTCTGTTTGAGAGGAGGGCTATGGAGGGTGGCCAGCAAGACAATTTTTCTGAAGGAAGCCAGAAACTTTTAAATTGAAGTTTAAGTAATTGAACACTTTGCGTTAGGACGAAAAAGGCAGGATGAAGACCCACCATTCGGGGTGCACTTGCGCTGGCACTCGGCCCCTTTCTTCGGTTTGTACCGGAGCGCGTCGCTGTAATATGATAGAAAGAATTTTTAATTAATTGTTTTGATTGGTTTGGTTTTGATAAGTCGTTTTTTAATATTTGTTTTTCCCGACCCACAGTGCTATTCGTGTATCGCGGCAATTGTATGGGGAGGCGGGGTTCAACAGATGCATCGGCGAGAGAGGGCGCCCAGGGGAGAGGCGCAGAGACAATTTCTTTCCCGCGCGTAATCGATTGACTTATGCCGCCCTTATCCCTTTAAGCAGTTTGCTCATTACCGCCATTGAAGGAACCGACCGGAAATCGCGGCGGCAATTGAAACAAGCGAGTGTCCCGTAGTCGAAGTCGAATTCGCCAGCAAAGCCACAATCACAAATGGCGTACTGTAATAGAGGTGATTGAAACATTGATTTGGATGAAGATCCCGCCGTCGCATAGGCTTTTTTGAGAGATTGCAGACCAAGAGGTGCTAGGCTGTTGGGAACGTTTCCCTTTTGCCTACTTCAATCAACAATCAAAACTGATGGAAAAGAGCTAAATCAAAAAGTTATGGTTTTGAAAGCTGCCGTTCGTGGTAGGTGGACGAGCAGAGATGCTGGATACACCTACCGCACGTTCGCGCAGCGGAGGGCCTGCCTAAAATGAATAGTTAAGCGATTTTTAAGGTATATTTTGCTGCTTTCATTAATGGACCGTTTCTGCGAAGCAAAACTACGGAATTGCTAAAGCGATGATTTTTTCGAAAATCATATTTCCGGAAATCACTTTTTCGGAAATTTGTATTACGAAAGTCAAAATTCCGTAGTAATTTTTCTCGAAAATCACTGTTCCAAAAATGAAAATTTAAATTTTCACAAAAGAAAAATATTTTCATACCCTTTCCGGCCATTTTGCCAGCTGATTTTCGGAAGTATGGCTTTTCGAAAATATGAAAATGAAATTTCGTAAATATTTTCGGAAATGTGGATCTGAATAAAAATTACTGACTCTTTTCACTTTCTTAGGGCGGCCCGGTCCTCGTCGAGTCGCGGCAGCAGTCGGCTGCTTCACCTTTTCCTGAAAGCTATGCTATATTCTTCTTACTAGAAAATGATTGTTAAAGCGCACGTTCAGGGAGGGGCCGTATACTCTGTCCAACGTATACACCCTATGGACGAAGGGACGGCGCGCACGGCTTGCCCGTGGAGTGGGAGGCAATTCCCCTCCTTTCCGGGGTGAGGCGCCCCTCGGCCCATCGCCAGGTTGCACCTGTGGCTGACTGGTATGCGTCCGCGCCTCCCGATCGGGAGGCGACTCCCGGCCGCGGCCAAAGTCTTTGCGTTCTTGCCCAAAAAGGTCCCTGAACGTTAACAGGCGCACATCGAAACTAGTTATGTGAGTACGACCATCTTGTACAGCTCGACGAGATGAATCTCGTGAAGCAACTTTTAGCTGCCGATGCATTGGCTTAACAAACTCACAGCCATTGAAAAGTTTTTGTATACCTTTATAGACCCTCGCCATGCCCCAGCCAACGGCTCATCAAAGGCGTCCCAAAAAATCTGCTCCCCTTTAGCGGGCCACATCAACGTCCAATTGGCTGGGTTTTTAACCCGCACTCTCATTTTTATTTTTCAGATTTTCGCATTTTGGCACTTGGCACTTCGTTTTTCAATAAATACCCGTGCTGAAAAACCGCTTCACGGGTTTTTAAACCCGGCCCCCGTCTAGCATCCATAATAGTCTTCACTTTATATCTTTCACTTCGCTTTCTCCCGAAGCAGGGCCGTAACAAACTTGGGCGTGCGACTGTAATCGGCTGGCCTTCGGATTACCCTCCATGACCTACACCACCACATTACATCTCCACCTTCATCAATACCCACGCTGACCGCTTCAGATAACCCCAGTAGCCGAAATCCTCTTGAAAAATTACCTAAATACCTTCCTGGCCGCATCAGATACCCCCCCCATAGCCGAAATCCCCCTCAAAAACTACCTAAATACCTTCCTGATGGCCACATTTACCTCCTTTGGCCGAAATCCCCTTAAAAAACTGCTTTGATACCTTCCTGATGGCTTCAGATACTCCCCATAGCCAAAACCCCCCTTCAAAAAGGACTTAGATACCTTCCCGATGGCTTTAGATACTTAGTCATACTGACGCAAGTCAATAGTTTGGTTAGTCTTTCAGGCCATAAAAGAGGCCTGGCGATTTTTGGGCCGGTTTTTAAAAGCAGTTTGGAAACCAAATTGTCAGTAGGGCAGCAGTAGTCACTGAATCACATATCGAACACGTTTGAGCAAATATAAAACCAAATTTTACGATGCCTTTTCGAAGCCGATCGCTAGTCTCATTAATTTTGCAAGACGTTTTTGTGGGAGGTTTGGGAAAACACGACAGGACAGACGGAAAGCGAGAGAGAGAGAAAGAGAGAGAGAGAGAGAGAGAGAGAGAGAGAGAGAGAGAGAGAGAAAGAGAGAGAGGGAGAGAGAGAGCGCAAGAGTGAGAGAAAGAGAGAGAGAGAGTGAGACAAAGAGAGACAAAGAGAGAGAGAGATCGAGTGAGTGAGAGATAACTTTTGGCTGACGGCATTTCCTTCGACAAAGTGTCGCTGCTAGTCCCGCCCCACAAAATGACCACTTTTTGCAACGATGACTGGGGGGCGCTTCTGTAAACCGTACTGCGTTAATGCTTGAGTGATTGGAAATGCTGATTGGCAATTGGAAATGAAAAGAGATGCTTGAGCGCCACCGGGTTTATTCCATTCTCATAGAGGAGGGGAGGAAATAGGGCACAAGAGAGCATTCTAGGGCCAGGGAATACATACAAATGGCGGGGACACGCTCACATCGGGAACTATGAAAAGATCGGGGGGCTTCATTATCTGTTCGTTCGGATTTTGCGGGCTTGTAGGAGATGTAGGCGTATTCATTCGTTGTCCTTGTTACCTCCGCTCTGAAAAAGCGGAATATCGAAAGAATCGGTCCGTTTGCCTTAAACTGGGCGCTGCATGTATTGAAGGGCATGAGTGATTTTTTGCGGTATTCCGCTTTTTCGCTTAGCCGCCACACGAAATATGTGATCAAGACAGCACAATGTGTCAAAAGCCAACTCAATCGCCAAAAAGGTTGAGATCCTTAGACACTCTACAAAGTTTTCTAAATAGTTTTTCCACACGAAATATAGGTAGATTTCGGTATTAGAGATTTCGGCATCATGGATCTCGGTATGAGGAATTTCGGTGTTTTTGGGCGGTCGACACCTTGGATTTCGGTGTATTGAGATTCGGCATTTTAGATTAGGCATACTGAAAAAAGACTGTGCTAAGGCCTTTTGTTTTACAGCATCCCGCCTTATAAATTCTGCCACACCTAGTTTTTATGGACCTCTATCGCTGGAAAAACTTTTAAAGCCGATTGAGCAATATTTAATTAACGGGGGACGGGGGGTGCGGGTAAATGACCGTAGAAAAAAAAATTGCGCGACCAAAGTATCATCCTGTGGCTTCAAAAACGACATCGAATAACGCGTCGAAAATTCTACGATACGTGCCGTAATTTAAGCCAGGAAAATCATCATTTGTAATGATTGTAATTGATAAAATTTAAAACAATTTTAAATCAAGTTATTCCATGCTGAAATTAAAACTAAATGCACAAAATTTTGAAAACATGGCAAACCACCGAAAACAGATATCCGGCCACGTTTCCGCGCATAGCCCGACTATTTTCGTTCGCTCGAAATCAGTGTCAATTAAGTTTCTCGGGCGGAAATTAAATCTCGAAGTATAATTTTTGCGACCTAAGTTCGTCCAATGGCATGCCTGAATAGGTAAATCGAAACCGCATGAAGTCATCTTGTTCTCCCCTAGTTGTTTGCTCCCCCCGCTTTCGTTAGGACAGCTGACATTACTGCGAAAATAAGTCCCTTACTGTAGTAACATCAGCCGCCTTGGCCATCAAACGCAGCTCCGCTGCATCAGCGGCCGCCTTCGCAGCCCCAGCTTGCGCATTCATGGAGACTGTTTCACGAGCAGGAGGAAGAGCAGGATGTTCGGGGACGGCTCCCTGAAATAAGTTTTTGCCTTTGGGTAAGCCGAAATCGTTTCAGATTGAAGTCAAAATTCCATCAAAATGTGTCACACCTGTGCAACATGGAGTGGGGCATCATTTGGAGCTTGTGGGCGGGCTTCTTCGGCCTGAATGCTTGCTCTTATTGACGACCAGCAACCCGAAATCGAATCGAAGTCCGCTATTGATATCTAATGACATTTTCAAAATATCGAAAATAATGGAAATGTCGAAAATCCGTTATTGATATCGAAGGATATGCCAGCATGAGTCCGGACAGGTCCGCACTTACCATCTGGACGGACACCCGGACGACGTTACGAAAATCGTCGTCACATTGAGCGCAAGGCTGGTCGGGCTAAAAGCTCCTTGCGAGATGTCGTATATCAGCCGGTCGTCCATTCGGGAAAACATACCTTGCACAGTCGATAGTGAGGAGTTTTGGCGCCTGGAGTGGAGGCGGTGGTTGTAGAGAATTGAAACTAAACTTGTCAGTTCGACAAATCCGGTAGGTGGGGCGGGAAGGCGGCAAACTGGGGAGGGGAATCAATTTGCAAAACCGCATTATTGTGCCTTGCCCAATTTCTCGGGGGGAACGCGGGGGGGACAATCTCTACAAATTGGTCCCAAAATTTGCGCTTTCGAAGCATTATTATCAGCTAGGGGTCCCTATATTTAATTCAGAAAACGGCTTTCAAATGGTATACCTATCATCCCGATTCGACCCTTCCCCCATGGAGTTAAAGGGGGTTTTTTTAACTGGGAAACCCTATGCAATTTATGTTGTACGGTGAGCTAAAGGTAAGTCTTACGGCATGTTATAATCTAGCGTAACGACACTCCCTACCCCCTCCCGCGCAAGCCAAGACAGTACCGACCAAGACCAATATAATAAGTCTCATAATACATAAAAGCAACAATAAACAGATCCTTACCGCCTCATCTTTGAACGGCGAGATCGTGAGCGGCTGCAAGAACATTTGTTATAAGTAATTTCAGTGGTTGCAAAAATTACCGGTGAGGGTCAAATCATTGCACCTATTGTAAAGCTCTTTGTAAGATTTTTTCAAACCTCTAAAAGGTAATACCACTCCTGACCCTCAGAGGTCATTTTTCCAATCACTGAAATTACTTACTTGGTCACTAAAACCTGTCGACAACAACACAGAATGCCCACAAAAAAATCCTCACTCCCTAGCGGGCCGCAGAAGTGGCCGTTTTTTCCCGATCTATGTATCTATTAACAGCTGCCAGAAAGACCAGTCGAGCACGTCTCTCCAATTTTCGATTTATTAATATTTTTTCAGCAATTGTCGAAATTTTTGATGCTTTTGCAAAGATCACAGTTGACTCAGTTTGCCGCCTTTCTAGTAGCCTGACGACAGCTTTTCGAGAGCGATTCGAGAAAACACAGATTGCGCGGCGCCTAATAACTCGGCTACATTGAATTTTTGGCAAAAACCTTGCCAATTTTCATAAAAAATACCGTAGTAAATACCATTTAGTGAATCCTACCTTATATAATTTGGTCGCGGATCTTTGTCTGTGTGTGTGTGTGCGGAGGTCAGTTTCGAGGCCCGATTTGAGGGCCTTCCCGTGCATAAAATGTCCTAATTCTCCGTTACCCGGGGGAATCGACCCTTCTGTTTCCAATGGTGTTTTCAGATTTTCGATAAAATACAGGTTTACAAAGTTAAAGACGGTTTTACTCATTTTTGAGGCCCTTGAGGGTTAATTTGCATAATGTGAAAAAATACAAATTGCCTCATTCTTGCAATTTGCACTCGCGAGTGTGGTCGGCCGGGGGGGAGGAGGTCCAAAGGACCCGAGCTATCGGAAGTCAAATTTCACATGCAGGGGCCGCATTCCAGCGTCCAAGGCCCGCGCAGCGGGTTTTGGGCGCTGGTTTAAATGATTATTTTGGGCTTAAGTGCAGTTTACCCCACCCCCCAGCCGGCACCCACCTACCGTATCTCGGCTCCCTGTGCATCTACAGGTGTGTAAAGTATACCAAAATACTCGCCAGAGCAAGATAAACATTTTGGTAGACTTTACACACCTGAAGATGAACAGAGCGACGAGATACAAAAGTAGGGTGGCGGCTGTGGGGTGGGGGTAGACTGCGCTCTAACCTTATTCTATTTCGAGAGCTTTCGATGGATACCTAAATCGCTATATCGGACATGACTGCTGCCTGCTAGAGGGGTCGAATTTTTTTGGGGACATCCTGTGTAGTTAGATAGGCTGACGCAATTCTTTTGCCTTGTCAAAAGCATCCAGATCGTGTAAATATTATCACAAACTCAGACACCCCGAGGACAAACTGTACCGATCCACCGTCGAGAGCTTCGACGTATTTTTTCTCCTGATGGTCCCTCTAAAGCAAACGGTCATCATACTTCAGGATTCAGTTTTACAAGCCAAATCTCGGGCTCCAATATTACCCACGTCTTTTTCCAGCTTCACGAGTTCGACGTCCTCGTCGCCTATCCATTCTTTGTCCGCATTAAACTGGAAAATGCTCGAAATAAAAACTGATTATCCGATAAACTACAGGGTGTCCCAATAAAAAAACGCCCGCCCCTAACTCGACGCAGAAGTATCGGATTGGAAATGAGAGTTACACCATTCGAAGTCACTTTACAGCGAGTTTACAACAATCTTCGAAATTTTGTTCTTATTTAAATCCGTCAATTTACAACGCTAATCCCGGTCGCTTTGGATAGAACAATGAGAGCAAATTAAGGCGTATACAACCCCGAAAAAATCAGAAACGTTTACAAAATGGTTTGTAAAACAGCGGGGTTGAATAAAAACATGGTTTTGAAGATTTTTGCAAACTCTCCGTTTCAAGGGCTTTCGAATAATAATTTCGTTCCGACCCGATACTTCTCCGAAGAATTATCCGGGAGTGTTTTGTATCGGGGCACCCAGTGTTTAAATAAATCTGCATGAATCGTCAGAAAAATAGAGACGGGGGGAGGAATGAAATTTTTTATTAAAAAACCAGGGTTGAAAAGCCGCTTCGCGGCTTTTCAACCCTGGCCCCATCTGACCCCCCTCTTTATCCTTCACTTTGCATAATTGTCCTAAATTGGGATGACAAAAAAAATGAAAAACGCCCTCTTCGGCCCCTTTATATAGTCGACTCCCCACTTCCGATCTATGTTAATTATTCCTAACAAAGAAGTGTTCACAAAAACTTAAATTTAATGTCGAAAACAGCTAATTTTGTAAAATCTGATATGTGTGCAGTCATCTCAAGACCGTTGCGCACCTAATGACGTATCACAAATAGCTTAAAATTCATCCCCCATCGAGATATCCTCCGGACAGCCAGACGGAAGTGGATGCAAAGTGGCACACACACACACACACAAACACTATTTTTTTATATATAGTAGGATCAAATAATCGTCAAAAAAATCTATTTTTTTTGTGTATTTTAATACAATTTCCTGAATTTTTTACGTTTGGGGATAGTAAGGTTTAGACGGTTTAGAAACAGTTCCGCTATTTATGTTTAAAACCATGTGTGCGAAGATAGTGCGAAAACACCGAAAAATAAATTTAAGTGTCCGGGTGGCGGCATATGCTATGCATATAAAATGAATTGATTGAATGAATTGAATGAATGAAATGATTGAATGAACCGATTGAATGTAACACGGCGAAATGCCAGATGGGTCGTTTTTTTTGGGACACCCTGTATATGACTACTACCCCCTCCAAAAAAGAACTTCGTATTCAAAACGTTTCGAGCCTATTGACCGGGCTTTCAAAACTTGCTTTGTCCAGTACGTTGCTCAGCTCCTTGTTCATCGTTGTCCCAATCTTGGACAGTTTCGCGCCATGGATTTGCAGCAATTTTTGTTCCTGATGAACGATAAACTTGTTAATGACCAACTCGGGGTGGGCTCGGCCGCCTAATAAGCCGAACACAGTGCAGGGACCCATTCTCTAGTTCTTTAACAAAATCCAGTTTTGTATGTTGCTATTCTTTATTTATATTTTTTGTTGCCTTACAGCTAAAATATTTCAAGGAACTCTTTCAAACTTTCAAAAATTTTTGTTTTCATTTTTCCTTACCTTAAGAATCCGCTCATCCAGCAATTCGCCAGTCTCAGTCACAGCGTTTGCCTTCTTGCGTCCTTGTCGGATTGCGTCCCGTACCCACTGGAAAAGAGCGAACCAATTTTTAGGGGTTTTATAGTATGCCAATTTCAGGCCTTCCGGGTCTGCCGCCACCTGGAAACATCGAAGAATAAATATTACACGGGGGTTTTTTTTGTGGCGGTCCCGCCCAACCGGCAACCGAGGCGTGGTGACGATGGTGGTGGACGAGCCGGATGATGTGGCCTAACAAGTAGTCGCTTTTGAGTGACATTGGGGGTTTTGGAGGAGACCTAGCTAATCCCATACAAGAAAAATGCTGCGCAAGATGCCGTTTCGCAATTTGCTAACCGCTTGCTATGATGCTAAATTTCATTAATTTAATCAAATTAAGTTTAAAACTAAAAAAATGTTAAATTTTTAGAGAATGCCCCTTTTTCCACGAGCTATCCTACCTTATATAATTTGGTCGCGTATCTTTGTGTGTGTGTGTCCGGCGCCAGGGAAGGCTACTTTGCATAATTCCAAAAAATACAAATTTCCTCATTCTTGCAAGTTGCACGCGCGGGTGTGGTCGGATGAAGGGAGGGGTCCGAAGGACCCAAGCTATCGGAAAGTCAAATTTCTCATGCAAAGGCCGCATTCCAGCGCCCAAGGCCCGCGAAGCGGGTTTTGGGCGCTGGTCGAAAAATAATCTTGAAGCCCTTTTTGCGCTCAACTATGCTAAAAAGAAAGCATATGCTAAAATACACCTACAAGGAGATGTTTTTTGTGTCCACGGAGTTTCGATGGGGCTCAGTGTATTGTTTGGGATTTTTCGCTGATCAAAACGTATCTTTTAGTATCTGAGAAAAGAACATGATAAGGAAGTTATGGAGCTTTAAAGAGCCGAAAACGGCAAAACTGGGCAATTTTGGCCGTTTTTCATACCTTAAAGCTGGTGGTTCTGTTCTATTTCGCCGGGGGCGGGGGGAGGGGGAACTGTGCGGGGTGGCGGAATATGCTTCATCGAAACTTCCATCTTTTCGCGATTTTCTCGGGATTTTTGCAACGCCATTCGATTGAGCATAAAAAATATACTAATAAGGGAAGGTTTTTTGAGCTCGGCCGGGTTTAATTTAACGGGTAAAATTGACACAAATGATACACAATTCGATAGAAAATTGAAAATAAATATGAGTCTTTAATGCCATTCGATAAAGCGTCTAAAATATACTAAGAGTTTTAATGGTACTTGTGTATTCCCGGGGGAAAGAATTCGCGGGGGGAACCAACTTTTTTTTTGTCGGTCCTGCTGGGGATAGTCATCAAATATAAAGGGTTTTCACATTGTTTTTAGCAAAATTTAAGCCTATTTGAATAGGACAAACTTTCTAAAAAGTGAGAAAAGCGCTTGAAAAAATCGAAAATTTGGTCATTTTGGGACGAAAAAATTGATTTTTCGACCTAAAATTCAATTTTTTTAATTACATTTTGTAAAGTTTTTATGTTTAGGAATAGCTATAATTACAACTCAAAATAGCATCATATAAAAGAGTGATGACAAAACGAAGAACAGTTCCCTCCGCACAGTTCCCCCCCCCTCGCGAAAGAGAACAGTACCAAGCTGGTCATTTTCTCGTCTTTTCTCATTTCCCAGCTTCTGCAAAAAGCATTTTGCTTAACGAAAAATTCTACACAAAAAAGGCATGGTCTGACTTCGAAACTCCGTAGACACTGAAAAACGTTCCCTTGTGGGTTGCGCTTAAAATTGACAAGCAAAGGAGACAAACACCGAAAATCATTGAGCCCGGAGTAGAATTTTCAAGATTTGGTTGCGGTCCGTACTCACGATTGGGCCAACCTTCCTAGAGAAGAGAAAAAAGCCTATCCTAAAAATTGAGTCAACGACATCTTGTTCAGAAAGTTCCACCGATCTAACTAGCCAGGGCTCCTGCGAGCAAGCACTCAAATACCCACGCGTAGCCCACAGCACCCACAACCAGCGCCAACCGAGCGTACCACGGAAGCCCACGGGACCGCCTAAAATGACTTAGTTATAAAATAACGTTAGGTGCTTGCCCATCGAAGTCGGTTGCCGGGACGGATGTTGTAGGTGCGCCCATAAAACTGAAAAGAAAACGTAGAACTAAAAGGCCGGCCGCGAGGGACTAGCAACCCTTATTAAAGCGAATTAATGCTTAACACATTTTTAGCATGTTTTTTTCCACGGGCAGCAGAAAGAGCAGGGTCGAATCAGTAGACCGGAACTAAAGGGTGTCCCAAAAAACACCCCCCTCTAGTGGCCCGGAGAAAGCTCGGCTTCGGATAATTACTACACCACTCGAAAGTCCTTGCAAAAGCGATAAAACAAGCGGGTTACGTTTTCTTAAATTATTTAGCTTTCCTTGAAATTCCACGTTTCTCTAAAAAACGCGTGTTTTTCTTTGCCCATGTTGAATTAACATGCCTCATTCGCATAAGTCCGCTCTTTTCACAGTTTTTAGTTATAAAAATACCCTTTAGTCCCCTAATCTGGAGAATGAAAAGCGCTTGTTTTCTCACTTTCGATAGATACCTAAATCGTAAAAATCGGACATCACTGCGGACCGCTAGAGAGGGTCTTTTGTTTTGCTAAAATTAATATTGCAATTCGAACTAGGCCTAACAAAACAAAGTAGCTTACTACGCTCTTTTTGACCACGCGGGGGACGCCACCATCCATTGACGATTGACTGCCGAAAATTTCAGAATTTGCAGTGGAGGCCCAGCTCATGTCGGTCATCTCCATTTCCTAGAATTTGGTCGATTCATTAGTTAAAAACCAGTTTGCGTTGTAGCCCCTCCCCTCCCCTTTACTATAAAAAAAGATTATACCGACCGAATGATACGGCTCGTCGTCATCGTCATCTCCAACGTCCTTCTCGTCGACGCTGGTCGTACCATGATCCGCGGCGTGTGAAGACTAGAATTTGGTCGATGTATGAGTTAACAAACCACTTTTCGTTGGTGCCCCCTCCCCTTAATAAAAAATTCTGCTGACCGGATGATTTGGGGCGCCGTTGAGGAAACCGGAAGAGGACGAGAGCTCGTGGTCGTGGCCTTGATAGATCGTGCGCCGTTCGTCTCCAACGTACTTCTCGTCGACGCCCGTCGTACCATGATCCGCGGCGTGTGAAGACTAGAATTTGGTCGATGTATGAGTTAACAACCACTTTTCGTTGGTGCCCCCCTTAATAAAAAAAAATTCTGCTGACCGGGATTGTCGGGTCGCCGTGCAGGCAATCAGAGATGGTCGAGATCTGGTGGTCGTTGCCTGGGCCGTGGATGGTGTGCCGTACGTCATCTCGAACGTCGTTCTTGTTGACGCCCGTCGTGTACCGCCGCCCTGTGTAGACTAGAATTTGGTCGATGTATGAGTTAACAACCACTTTCGTTGGTGCCCCCCTTAATAAAAAAAAATTCTGCTGACCGGGATTGTCGGGTCGCCGTGCAGGCAATCAGAGATGGTCGAGATCTGGTGGTCGTTGCCTGGGCCGTGGATGGTGTCTCGTACGTCATCTCGAACGTCGTTCTTGTTGACGCCCGTCGTGTCATGACCCACGCCCTGTGTAGACTAGAATTTGGTCGATGTATGAGTTAACAACCACTTTCGTTGGTGCCCCCTTAATAAAAAAAATTCTGCTGACCGGGATTGTCGGGTCGCCGTGCAGGCAATCAGAGATGGTCGAGATCTGGTGGTCGTTGCCTGGGCCGTGGATGGTGTGCCGTACGTCATCTCGAACGTCGTTCTTGTTGACGCCCGTCGTGTCATGACCCACGCCCTGTGTAGACTAGAATTTGGTCGATGTATGAGTTAACAACCACTTTTCGTTGGTGCCCCCCTTAATAAAAAAAAATTCTGCTGACCGGGATTGTCGGGTCGCCGTGCAGGCAATCAGAGATGGTCGAGATCTGGTGGTCGTTGCCTGGGCCGTGGATGGTGTGCCGTACGTCATCTCGAACGTCGTTCTTGTTGACGCCCGTCGTGTCATGACCCACGCCCTGTGTAGACTAGAATTTGGTCGATGTATGAGTTAACAACCACTTTTCGTTGGTGCCCCCCTTAATAAAAAAAAATTCTGCTGACCGGGATTGTCGGATCGCCGTGCAGGCAATCAGAGATGGTCGAATTCTGGTGGTCGTTGCCTGGGCCGTGGATGGTGTGTCGTACGTCATCTCGAACGTCGCTCTTGTTGACGCTCGTCGTGCCATGATCCTCGCCCTGTGAAGGGAAAGCAAATTTTTTTCGGCACAAACCTAGATTTTTTTATAAATTGCGGCTGCGTTTCTAGGTTGTTTTTAACTATCCCTGAGCATGAAAACTACACACATTTTACCCAAAAAAAAATAGAAAATAAAAATTAGGTTGAACAATCCTATAGAACCTTTAGGATTCGCGGGGGGGGGGAAGACCCAAAATGACCAAATTTTCGACTTTTTCAAACATTTTTCTAAATTTTTCTGAAAGTTCTTCTGCTTTAAATATAGTTAAAACTTACTCAAAACAATTCGAAAACACTTTATATTCGATTACTAGGGTCAACCGGGACCACCAGGAAAAAAAATTGGTTCCCCCCCGGAATCCTAAAGACCCTTTCGACCAATAAGCCGATCGAAAGAGCTGGCCGTTTTTTACCTAAATTTCGATTTTTTTGAAAAAAATTTGGAATTTTTAGACACTTTTTCCAGTCAAGAGGTAGTTTTTTACTAAAAATATTATGAAAAAACTTGCTATCAAGTTGCTAGGCATTGCAACCTTCCCCAACCAACCAACCAACCAACCTTCCCCCCCCCATCCCCACCTTACTCAGAATATTTTGTAAAAAGTTCTGACTTAAACGCTGTAAAATTCTGCGAGGTGGAATCAAAATTCGGAAGAGAAAGAAAATCGGAGGGCCCAGCACCTCACGTCTCGAGCAGCACAAATACGCTCGAAACCATTTTCCAACTGTCTTCCATGATCCTTCCGGCTCTACGGGGGCCCCTTCGCCGCCGCCACCCTTGAGTCGCAGGATGTGATCCGCTCGTTGTTTGATCCATGCGGATAACTAAATAAAGCTCGTTAGCGGAATGACAACGGCCACCTACTCGGTTGCGCTTATTCTGTTGCCCGTGCCGCTTTTTTCTCGAGAGATAGTAAACGAAGGCAACCTGAAAGCTTCAGAAATGATAAAAATCGGAACTTTAGTTTTGCGTTTTTGCTGCGAGAAAACTATCAAAATATTTTGAGAATTTTGAAATTTTAATTTTCGCCTTGTTCGGGTTTTTGACTCAAAAAATCAAAATCTTTCGTCGGCGGGAGTTTTTTTCTTTTCCAAACCGTGAATGCCATTGGATGGAGGGTGCTTTCAGGTTATCGGGGGGAGCGGTTATTTTAGTCAGGGGCGATTGCAAACTTTTTTTTCTATAATATCGCGCGGGTCGGCTAATCAAAAGCTGACCGTTGTTATAGACTTGGACGCCATTTCAAGTAGTTCTTGACTGTTAACGGGGGCGGGAAAGAGAAATCCAGAAATATAAATTAAGAATGTTTTTATAATTTTTGATTATCGAGAACTACTTACGTTAGAAAAAAGGATTATCAAAATAAACTCACTGATCGCTAGGCAGGTAAGCTACACAAAAACCGTCCCCAACTAAAATAACCGCTTCCCCCCGTAACCAGTAAGCACCAAATGGAGCATCAAAAAACTACAGGATGTCCCAAACCCCCCCGCCTCCTAGCCGGCCGCAGACTTGTCCGATTACGATCAAGGTATCTATCAAAGCTCTCGAAAATACGAGTATAGTACCTCTCACGAATTCGCAAATTTTTGCAGCTTTTCTAAAATTTACTAACAGTTTTGCGGAAGGGGCGGATTTTTTCAGGTTTTTCTGACCAAATGGTTTTTACAAAAATCTAAATTGAAAATTTTTACACCTCTCCTGAAAGCCCCGAGTGCTTTTTGAAAGATCGCTTGCGAACAACTCAGCTTAGATAGCGCTTCAGCGGCCGGTTAAATTGAGTTTTTGACAAAAAAGTGTGTCCTTCGCAAAAGCAGAGCAAAAAACTCCAACATTTCGAAAATCGGAAACACGTGGTGCCCTCACCTTTCCGAGAGCTTTCTGATAGATACAAAGATCGGACAAAAAACGGCCACGTCTGCGGCGCGCTAGGGGGGATCATTTTTTGGCTTACTTTGTACTACGAGGTGTACCTTAGCTCCTAACAACTTAATAAGAATTCTTTATTAAAAAAATTGGTGCTTCCAGGTTATCGGGGGCGGTTATTTTAGCGCGGGGCGGTTACTTTTTCTATAATCTTGTGCGGGTCGACTAATCAAAAGTTTACCGTTTTTATAGACTTGTACTCCGTTGCAAGCGGTTCTGGATTGTTAGCGGGGGTGGAAAAATTAAGAAAAACATCATAAAAGACGTCGAAAAATTTTGCTTTTTTTTGGTCGACCGTGTAGGAAAATGGTTCAAAGGAGCCAAAACCCTAAATTTTTTGACTTTAGGATAAATGCTTTTATAATTTTTGGTTTTCGGAAACTAAAACATGGTACTAAAGGCACTAAACAAAAAAAAGTTTGCAACCGCCCCCCGCTAAAATAACCGCCCCCCCCCCCCTTTAAACTGGAAGCACCAAACAATTTATCTGCATGGCGGTAATGTCAGGGTTTTTCGGCATTTTCCAATTTTGCTGTCGGAATTTTAACTCTAGCCAAATTATTTCTCTAAAGATGATTATTCCTTTAAACACCATCTACACACGGACCTGGACGAGGAACGGCACAACCAACGCCGACCACGGCGAAACCGCCACGGCAAAGGCGCCCATGGCCCTCCGGCTGTCGGCATCGATGGTCGCCTGCAACACCGATGCCATCGCTATGTGACTGTAACTACTAAATTTTATAGAGGTCTAAATTCCAGATTCCCCAGCAGCCGACCCCCACCTACAGTATCTCGGCTCCCTGTTCATCTACAGGTGTGTAAAGTATACCAAAATACTCGCCAGAGCGGAACAAACATTTTGGTATGCTTGTCTCACCTGTAGATGAACAGGCGGCAGAGATACAAAAGTTGGGTGCCGGCCGGCGTTCGGGGGAGGGGGGGGGGGGTTAGCTGGAGTCTTACCTTGTAGAATCCTTGCAAAACGAATTCGATTTTCGATATTTTCGCTATTTTCATGAAAGTTCGAAAAGACACCATTTCGAAAAGACACCATTTCGAAAATCACCATCTCGAAAAGTCACGATTTCGAAAAACACCATTTCGAAAAAATCCCCAGTTCGAAAAGACCCGGTTTCAAACAGGCATAAAAATTGCAGTGTCAAAAAACCACGGGTTTTTCTCGGATATGACTAGTGATGTAATAGAAATTGTTTTGGTCGTGTCTCCAGTGGAAAAATAGACCCCCGAACCTCAAACCAGCCAACGAAAATCATTTTTTTCTGCGACTGGGAAATGGGTTATTGCTAAATCCTGTTTTTGCTGTTGCTAAATGGTGATTTTCGCAATCGTGACTTTTCGAAATGGTGATTTTCGAAATGGTATCTTTTCGAAATGGTGTCTTTTCGAAATGGTGACTTTCGAAATGGTGTCTTTCGAAATCGTGATTTTTCGAAATCGTGATTTTCGAAATGGTGATTTTCGAAATCGTGACCGCCAACCAATCGAACTCATTTCAATTTTGGGTTGATTTGCATAATGGGATGATGACAAATCACACCTGACTTGGAACCCGGCGGGCAGGAGACTTCCCCATGGCGCGGCAGAGAGAGAGATGGCCAATAACGTGACACTTTTTTGCGATGGTAGAATGTTATGCAAATGTAATCTGCCGTGGGATTGTTGAATTCGAAAGTACGTAAGGAAGCATTAAAGGTGCTTCAGGATCCTCCAAGAAACTCCAAGGAACTCCAAGGAACTCGGTAAACGCGAGAAAAGGAAAATCACTGCTATTGTTTTCCGAGAGATACAGAGAGCACGAGAGAGAACGATAGAGAGAGAGAATGGGAGAGAGATAAAGAGAGAGAGAGAGAGAGAGAGAGAGAGAGAGAGAGAGAAAGGGAGAGTGAGAGAGAGGGAGAGAGTGAGAGAGAGAGAGAGAGAGAGAGAGAGAGAGAGAGAGAGAAAGCTATCTAAACCCGAAAAAGTCAACGTGAACTGCGCTTCTTACGTCCGTTTTGGTACTTCGGGCAATCGAACAAATTATTTGGGCGCTCTCCCAATTCGACGCGAAAGATTTTAGCGAGACTTTTGATATTACTTCGAGCTCAAATGGTGGGCACGCAATATTTCCAATATTCTTTAATGACTGAATGAAACCAAAAAATGAATTTTTTAAAGGGGCCAATCGGTAGCCCTAGGTCCTAGCTACTATCCACTGGCCGAAAATTGCGAAAAAATATACATTCAAATTTATACAATTAACGGCACATAGACAGTATGGAGGGGCAATAAAATAACGGGGGCACTTCTCGATAAAAAATTTCCATTACATTATTTCGGGCTGAAATTAATTCTCTTAGTATTTTTTTCGACGCTTTATCGAATTGCACTCGCAAAACCTTACAGTAATTGCAAATTTCATAATAATGAGTGCCCCCCCCCGTTTGTTTATCCCCCCGCTACCTAAGAGGACCCATTTAAAATAGTGTTTGGCAGGTCATCCGGATTTGGCTTGTTTTTGCCATAACTATTTTATTTTACATTATTTTGGGTTGCCTCTAAAACTCCTAGAATATTTTTTGACGCTTTATTGAATGGCTTTATGTCCAAAACTAGCTTTGCCTCTCTTGTTTCTATAGGAAACCACGCCTAAATTTTGTTTTTGCTGTAATTATTTTATATTGCATCATTTTTGCTGAAATTATAACTTTTCAAATATTTTTCTCTGGTCCAGCGACTGACATATCGAAAATGCCGCAAAAAATAGCAAAAATACCGAAAACTAGCTTTTTAGCCCGATTTATGGAGGGCTTTAACTTTTTGAAAGCACAATATTTTCAGCGATCCTTACGTAGTGAATCGCGGCAATCTCTGGTTATTTGTCAAAATCATCTGTACCAACCAGCCATTATTTGCATCTGATGATTTGTAAGCCGCCTAATAAACGCCTTGTCTACCGATATGCAAAAGGGTACGCGGAAGGATGGGCGGAGCCAGTTTGGCTCTCTCTCTCTATATAACGCGCGACCCCTAAGGTCGCGCGGGTCCATTCTCCTCCCTTCCTTTCCCCGCCCCAGCATGCCGGCTGCCATAAGTGCGCCCACTTATTCTATTTTATGATTAATGTATGGCCCCTTAATAAAGGCCCTATTAAACCAAATATCGTCCTTATTAGGCGGCTTACAGATTAGCGAAACAAAATTATTAGCATTTGCGGCTGCGGAAATATCATTTATTATTTATTAAAAATTACTTTATTAAAAAGAGGTATCCGCAGCTAAAAGTTACATCAATCGATTCGTCTCGTCGAGCTCTACAAGATGCACATACTCACATATCTAGGTCCGATGTCCGCCGGAAAACATTCCCTTGTGAGGTTATGGCCGCATGGCGGCAGGTGATGCTTTTTACGTTTTTTAGGTGCCGTCGGAAGTGATGTTTTTGAGGTTCGCCGAGGTTTAAACTCAGGACGGAGCATTGGGCCACTAAAACCACTACCATATAGAAATCCACCCGAACGGAAGCCAAGGGGGAGGGAGGTTGCAAAACGCTTTCGTACGACAAGCCCTGCCCCGCCCACCGCCCCAACCATCCACCCCTGGTCTTCTCGAGCTTGTTCAACGGCACGATAGATTTAATTTCGGATACCGCTGCTATTGCTTTAATTTTATGCTTCGCGTTGTCTTAGAAAAATGATTCGCATCGCGGAAGAGCCTTGATAAAGTTTTGGTCAATTCTGTCAAGTAGACCGCAAAAAGGTAAGAGTTTACTTTACTTCCCGCCCCACAGCCGAAGGGTCTCAAAGTTTTTGGTATTTTCACTTATTTTGTCGGGATTTTTGCAAAGCCATTCGATAGAACTTCGAAAAATATACTAAGAGTTTTAATTTGAGCCTACAATAATGTAACATCAAAAAAACTGTGTATTGTATTAACGGGTCTAATGCTGAAATTGGCGGCAGGTATAAGGGGAAAAGCAAAATTAACACGCCGCGCCCCCGCCACTGAACGTTTGCAAGGCTGGGATAACCGGGTCCAAGCTTGAGATGCAGCTCCCAAATAATCACTACTCTTCAGCAAACTGTACTTCACATCGTCTGCAGCGTGGCTGCGATTTGGGCTATGTACTCTAAGGTGGCACAGGACAAACCAAGCGCCGTAAACTTCCCGTATTGGCTTTTCTGTCACTCCCAGGCTGATCGTTAAAGGGGCTCCGAAATCTGGTCCACGGCCCCCCGCTGTGATTCCTGGCAAATAGCCAGATGCGACCGCAACGCGACCGCGCCGCATGATCTTTTGCCCCTGTTTGGACGCGAAAACGCTTGAATTTCAAAATTCTGATGCGGTTTTTGGAATCCTCAATGAATTTTGATCCTTCTTGTCTTTTAAATTATGAAATTTGATCAAAGAATCGCAGAGATCGAAAGATTGGGTGCCTTACAAGGCATTACGACATGTAATAGCCGCCCACTCAAAAAGTCGTTTTCGCCCCGAGGACTTTTCCGTTTTACTCAAATATTTTACGTTTTTCGCAATAAAATCACTTTTCTGGCACTTCTCGGCAGCGACCCTTTCGTTTTTTGACCCGTAGGTTCAATCCTCGGACGCGCGAATTTTGACTTCCGAGCCCCTTTAAGACTCTGTGTTGCAGATCCAATTGCCCTTTTCTATCCCTTCGCTCTGCCAACACTCGATTCTTCGGTATTCTGCTTTTTCAGGCTGAACCTGGCGTCTAAGTCGACGCGGTCCAGCAGCTCGTCATACTCAGACCCTCAGATCGATTCTATGCGTATTGTTGTGTGTTTCGTTTCAAATGCTCGATAAGTACCTTTCTCGCTGTTGTCACTTCCGTCTTTACCTGCTGAATAAAGGATTTTGGGATCCAGGGTCGAAGAAAAATTTTTTGAACTCACCACGACACCGCAACACCGCACCCGTCTTTGAACTGCATAATCGAACACCATCTCCAAATAGTGGCCAGGTTGCGCGTGCGCGTTGCGTAGCGCGGTTAGATTTTACCGCACCGCGGGCTGGCCGACAGGACATCGTGATAGCCGGCATTGGAAAGGCGAGCCTGCGCATTATGTATCGCCGGTGCGCAAGAATCCATAAGAAATGATATCATGCCTTGCCCGCCCCTTTAAAGCCATGAAAAGCACACAGGCCTAATTTGTGCAGTACGCATTTTATTTCATGATTATTAGTGTGCAGCGTCTATGCATTATTATTGATGGCAAATAGGGCGTCGTTGTACCGTGAGGGCGGTTCGGTTTCTTCGTCGGAGCTGAAAAGATAAAGAAATGCTAGAGTTAACTTTGTTTTTGTTATTTCTAGTCCGATAAAGGTTTCCGGAAACGAACTTTGTCCAGTAGGAATTTTCGCCATAGATCATTCGCGGGTGGTAGAGCACTGGGTCGGCCACATTATTGTCAGCCACCTCGTTTTCACTGGAAAATGAAACCTATGAAGTCGGAAGGCGGGCTTAGGCTTAAGCTTAGGCTTAGGCTCCGCTCAGACTTTGGCTTAAGCTTAGGCTTAGGCTCCGCTCAGACTTTGGCTTAAGCTTAGGCTTAGGCTCCGCTCACACTTTGGCTTAAGCTTAGGCTTGGGCTTCATCTTTGGCTTAGTTTTAGGCTTAGGCCTCGGCTTGGGCATTTAGTCAGAGCCTTATGCTGGGCTTATAACTAGCTTAGGCTTAGGCTTGGGCTTAGGATTAGTC